AGTGTGGACGGTAGGCCTAACCGTAGAAATAAAGCCGCGTTTTCAAATTCCTCTGACGTAGTGACGACGGGGCTTTATAATCAACGAGTGAACGACTTCACGGACTGGTGTACGCCAAACAACACCAACAACAAAGAATGAAGCAAACAAGTTAGTGATCTGCTGCTGCACACTTGAGAACAATGAAGCCAGTATAAATACTCACCACGGAGGGAACCAATGCCTTGGTGCGAACAAGAGATGAAATTTGTTTCCACTTTGACATCATGGTTTCTAGTGTCTTCTATTTATGCCCCCGACAATGATAAACCTCTTATCGCTGTTATGTCATCTTCGCGTCAGGTCAGACAGAGGGAAAGAGATAGACACGAGAATTAGTGGCTGGTAGAGTAAAGACTAAGAAAATGAAAAAAATAGATATGAATAGGCCACTGTGGTTAGGGACCAGAACAATGGCAAAGAAATGAAAAGGCTTAAAGGCTGGTTTTCACTAGCGTACAAACACACGCAGACGCAGTTAAGGAAGGACCATTATTTTTTTGAGGGGGTGGGGAGGTGGGCAATTTTCTGGTTCATGAAATTTTTTTCTCACCCTTACGTTGTGCATGATTGTTTTTGGTAGACAATAGTTTGTGCAAGAATCTTTTTAAAGTCACACACAGAACCAGGATTGTAGAAAGCACTTGCTCGGTTTTTTTTCCCATGGCTCCTCTTGTACGATTTTTTTTTCAGTCGTTTTTGCTGTGCAGGAATTTTTTCGGGGTAATTGCCCACTCCACCCTGCCCCCCTCAAAAAAATAAGCGCAAAAAACCAGAGAAGAACATCACGTGTATATACGTGAATAATTAATGAGGAACGATGCGCTTAATAGCTTTGAGAATGTAGGATATTCTAATGAAGAATTGAGTAAATGGAGATTAGAATCACACGCGACATTTGACGTTCACCTCGAACGAGTTGACAATAAGATTGGAAGGAATATGACGGCAGATATATCATAACTTGGACAGCAGATGTCGCCGTGGCCAGTTTCTGACGTTTCTGTGAGTAAATGCCAGAAGTTTTGTTGCAAGAGCGTGACATTCGCACAGTTGAGAATATTGATGAAAAACATATTATGGCGGCGGATAAAATTATTTAAATGATGTTAAAGTTATTAAAAGCTTTCTAGATTAATATTTAGAATTTCAAAACAAAGCGTTGAAGTCATTAACAAGTGGCGAGGATAAAAACAAAACACTTGCAGTGAGTGATAATAATGGATAGCGAAAGGATTACGTCCTAAATTTTTAGGCAGCACGGTTTACCGTTTTTCTTTTTTTTTTTTCGTTTCGGCGAAACAACAAAAAAAGCAGATCTTAAACCCCAAGCAGTATTGCTAACTATAAATGTCGCCTGACGAGTAATGCTTAATGACTTTTTTTCTCGCCAGCGATGGAGTTAAACTGAGGAAAATAGCTTAAATGCATCACTCTTCTTTATTGAAGCTTTTAAAATAATTGGCATTTCGAATGTTATTTAAAATTTCAATTAGGATAAGTGTAGTTCAAAT